ATAAGCAATTTCCAATTAATTCTCTTGTAATGATAAAAACCTCTCTTGCTATTTATTAAAGTTTTCCCCACAGCATTACATATCTCTTTAATTAAGATCAGCAATGAACTAATGCTTTCCTTATTCCCCATTGCTTTCAATTAGTCATTCATTGATCATTATCTGGAAGACACATGATAATTTACAGAAGAAGAACAAACATTGGATAAATTCTTTAGAAATTATGCTTCAGGAGATATAATGGGGAAAGAGGTAATAGGGAAAGTATTGCAAGGAAAAACTACTTGCTTCATACAGTACTAAGACAAAAGTTATAGCAGCATTTAATATCACTGTAAATTTTACCCAATGAGACATGCCTTGATTTTATAGAAAAGTGAGCTTCTCTCAACAGATCCCATTTTTTGAATTGGGAGTCACTGGCATGAAGCATGGTAAAGAATGAAATGCTTTACATGGTGATAATGCTGTCCCTTCTGAAGCTCCAATCAACATTTTTCATGGGAATTAACATGGAATGTCTAGTGTTTGACTGCAGAAAGGTGCTGTTCTTACAAATAGTGTGTATTTAGTTCTCTTTCATAATGAGGAAATGAATTTCAAAATATTTTTAAAAATCTTTATTTATTTATTGAATGTATTTGCCATCGATCTCATAATGAACTGACTCTGGATGGCTTCCAGCATGAAAGAATAGAATCGAATAGATTTCTTTATTGGCCAAGTGTGATTGGGCACACAAGAAATTTGTCTTGGTCCAAATGCTGTCAGTGTACATAAAAGAAAAGATATATTTGTCAAGAGTCAAGAATCATAAGGTACTTTGTAAATAGTTGGACAGTATTGAGGAAATTATTTGTTTAGCAGAATGATGACATTCAGGAAAAAACTGTTCTTGTGTCTAGTTGTTCTGGTGTGCAGTGGTCTATAGCATCGTTTTGAGGGCAGGAGTTGAAACAGTTTATGTCCAAGATGTGAGGAGTCTGTAATATTTTCACAGCCCTCTTTTTGACTCGTGCAGTATACAGATCCTTGATAGAAGGGAGGTTGGTAGTAATTGTTTTTTTCTGCAGTCCTAATTACCCTTTGAAGTCTGTGTCTGTCTTGTTTGGTTGCAGGATTAAAGCATTAAAACCCTAACAAATAATGCATATATCATTTTCTGTTGGACAATTCAGACATTTGAAGTTCAGATGATAAATCTCTTTCTTTACTGCAGTTGAAACCAGTTAAAAACTGCATTCAACAATAGACAAAGGTCACAGAGTAAGCAGAATCACAGATATGATCCTTCTCTTTGCTCAGTGACACAGTGGCTATGTTGCCATGACTTACTGATGGCAAAAGAGCCAATCATGTTTTAATCTATTATGTGGTGCAAACCTAGCCTGAATGGTTCGATCATTGTTCAGTGAATTGTACAAGTAATTGTGCTGAGTAAACTTGATTAAGTTAATCCTGAGTAAGCATACTAAGGGGGCACAGATAAAAAGAAAAAAAGACACTTGCATCATGGCATATTTCTTCCCCAGCTTCTGCGTGGTTCTTTTCATCTGTTTTGCAGTGTCAGCCTTCAAGATTTTTCTCCCTTTGCTTTGCTTCTTTCAGCTGTCATAAGTAACGGGTGGAGGGTGGGGTTGGAGGGGGGAATGGTTATGGGAAGTGAGCTGGAGGTGTTACAAACCAGAACTGTATAAACTGGCGGGGGGGGGGGTACATTCTTGCTTAGGTTTCTATCCTATGCTATGCGCAGCTGCAACTCTTTATCAAACTATGTCAAGGTCAACGGACAGAAGCCTCATCACCACCTGGAGATGCTCACATGATGATATACACAACTTTTAATTGGATGAGCCAATTGAACTATTGGGGGTGGGAATGTTGCCATTACTTTGTATATGGGATTTATGCGCCCATTTTCTCAGATTCAGAAGTCTTTTGTTGCTACCACTTGATTTCCAGTAAAAGATATCTTTTTTCTGATTAAAAGAGTCTAAGTATTTCTTTCTTGGATTTTGAATGGAGCACCAGCTGACATGCAGGATGTTTTGTTTTAAATGCTTTAAAAATAATAATAGAACAAAGGAGGAAAAACTGCTCTTTGAGTATTAGACAGAGTCAATTAGAGTATTAGACAAATCAGTTGCCTTCTTGGCAGATTGGGAGAAGACTGAAGTCTGGTTTGAGACCTCGTTGGGAAGAATGTGATGGATAGTCTGGATCTTCCTCATTCCCCATCTATAGGAGCTGCTAGTCTTGTTTCCAAGGTGATTCGTCTCTCATTTTTACTCTACACTTACTTATGTTCTCAAGAGTTGCAAGAAAGAAGCTCATGGCTTGCTTTCTCCAAGAAACTTTGTAAAAAGGTGTGGTAGAAGCAAAAATACTGAAATAAAGCAACGGAGGAATGATTGGTGACAATGGCAGAATTTTCTGAGAGCGCAAAACTGATGTGTTTGATTGGAGAAAGGACAAATGTGACTGAAAATGGTTTATGGACGTTTTGCTGAAAATGGAAAAAACATGAATTTGTGATTTTTGGGTGTGATAGTTAGAAAGGGTAGACAATAAGGGGGACTATTTGTAGTGGAGGTCTAAGATATCAGATTAACAGAGTTGGAAGGGACCTTGTATTGGTGGGCGAGGTCTGATGGTTTTTGGTTGGGCTGTTTATTGTTGGGTTTTTGGCAGTTCCTTAATCGGGGTATTATTTACTTCTTGATTGTTAGTCTGATGTTGATTGCCATGTTAATCTATACTCATCTGGGTCTTGACTGTTGTGGGTAGATGTTTTGGTCTTTCTGTTCCTATGTTTGGCTTGTTGGTTGTCTTTTTTATACGGTATGTAGATGTTGTTTATGTCTGTGTGTTTATTGATGGCTGATTTGTCTGAGTCCCAGGCTTCCAGGAATTCTCTAGCATTTTTGGACTTAGTTTGGTCTAGGATGACCATGGTTTCCCAGTTGAAACTATGGTTAAGTCTGTCCTTATATTGTGAAATTAAAGATTTCTCTTTATGTCTTCTGATTACTACTTAAGTGCTCATGAATGCATTCTGCTAATCTTTTGCCTGTTTTCTGTTGCAGTCTTTACACTATACAGATTGTCTTCAAGTTACAACCATTCAGTGGCTGAAGTTACAATAGCACTGAAAAAAGTGACATGACTGTTTTTCATACCTACAACCATTGCAGTATCCCCGTAGACACATGATCAAAATTTAAGCATTTGGCAACTGACTCATATTGGTGGTCAAGTGTCCTGGGTTCATGTGATTACCTTTTGTGATGGACAAGCCAAGTCAATGGGGAAGCCAGATTCACTTAACAACCTTGTTACTAACTTAAAACTGCAGTGATTCACTTAACAACTGTGGTAAGAAAGGTCGTAAAATGGGGCAAACCTCCATTTTAACAATTGTCTTGCTTACAATTTTGGACTCCATTGTGATTGTAAGTTGTGACTGTAAGCTGAAGACGTATATGTTGTAGAGCAGGGGTCTCCAACCTTGGCAATTTTAAGACTTGTGGGTAACAAAGCTGGCTGAGGAATTCTGGGAGTTGGTCCACAAGTCTTAAAGTTGCCAAGGTCGCAGACCCCTGTTGTAGAGGACTCTTATTTTTTCTTCTGGGGCTGCTGGGACTTTTGGTTTACTTAGGATGTTTTAGAAGGTTTTCGTTTGTGTGCTATGATGATGCCATTTGGTGTAAGAGTCTATTGCTGGTTTCTGACGTATTTTGGAGGTATGGCAGTGCTACTCTTTATTACAATTTATCTTGGTTTTGCTATATTGGGTTGAATGGGCAGGCACTTTCTGTTGAAGTTATGTGGATATCCATTTTGTTGGAAGATGTTATATAGATGACCTGTTCCTCCCCCCACCCGCTATTCAGGGTTGCTGTAGTGTGTATGTGCTCATCTAAATACGAGTTCTTATGCAAGTGAAACAGGTCATGTAAATCTACTAGTAAATATATCTGTGATGAGGGCTGCATTCACTACAGGGCCAGTTCTTTTATTTCCCTGTATAAATCCATAATCACTAATCTCATGTCCCTGATGAAATGTTCACATCATCATTTCATCCATTTGCTTTCTGAAACAATTCCACCTATTACTCCTTCTTTGCCCCATATGCCTCAGAATTTCCTCCCACCCATTTTATCATCTTTCAAAAGACACTTTTTCAATTAAGTACTTGTCATAGTAGCATTCACCAAACCATATTCTACTACTATCTTATGCACATCTCTCTAAAAGTCCAATTGAGCTGAATGTGACTGGCTTCAGGAAAATATGTGCAAGATTTAAGCTACCTCTCCCTGCAGTTTTATAAACTAGTGTGCGTGAAAGCAAAGGAAAAAAAAATAGACCAAGAAGAAGAAATAAATAAGGAAACAAAGCTCAAATTAGTGTAAGACATCTTGGAAGACTGTAAACTTTCTTGAGTAAAAAGGAAGAGTACACACCCTTGATGTCATTCATGTCACACAATCCAACCCAACATCCACAGGTACAGAGTAAATGTCTCTAGAAGTGGAATCTGAGCACAAAAACACATGGAGGCCTTTGCATGAGCTAAAGCTTAGAGTTCTTTTGCACAGACACACAAAGCCCTTTCCCTGTAGACATTTATGGTGTAAACACAGACATCCAGAAGAATGGTTTGGTGACCCTTGGGAGATTTCCTGCTCTGTTCCACACTCCCACCCCTGGATAATAATATAATTGGGTAAAAAATAGAGAGGGAATACTAACAAATTACTCTATGGATAGAGGAGAAATTGCCAAGTGGAAGAGAAACACAATTGTCTTAAGAACCAACATTTGTCCTTAAAATCTCTACGTTAAAATGATTTACACTTTGCAGGATCTACTTCGTTCTGTTTGTAGTCTTTTCTAACAATGGGCCACTATGCTCCTCCCTTCCTTGCTTTCAGTATTTGTTTCTCTTCCCATTAAAGGTTGATACGGATGAGCAATACTTTTTTGTCTGGTAGGCTAGGAGTCCTTCCATCTGGAAACACCTTTGTTGCCAACTCTTCAGGTGAGACTACAGACCATGACAAGATGTGGTTTCAATATCGCACATGAAATAAACTGAGGAGCCTGCATATCAGACGGAGGCATCATAAGCACTTTCCTTGCACTGGGTTCCTCCTCAAGTGACACGTGTGGTTTTGTGCAAATGGAATCTTTGTTTGCATCACTGTTGCAGCAGGAAGAAGCCCGGAACTGACTTTCAGCAGTAGGAAGGTGGGTTCTGGCCAATGGAAAGGAAAAAAAAAGCCAACGACATCAATGCCTGATAAGCATGAGGTTTAACTTGCTTCCTGTGCAGAACTGAAAGCTGCATTTGATGATGGCTTCTGATGATCTTGCAGTTATAATCTGTTTGTTTTAATTTTCCCAAGACACAGCGCTACAATTAATTTGGGGGCCTGAGATTTTTGAAGAAAAACCACCATCTCCCAGGTTGCCTTAAAACCAATCATGTCTTGCTAATGACTATTATTGAGTGTCTCCAAGCATGAGGATAATAGGGGAGTACTGGAGTGTTGAGATGTGCAAAGATGTTTTAAAATTCAAAACACTTTGAGCTTGAAACGGGCTATTCTGTCAAATAGACTGTTTCAGATTTGAAAGAATACTCAGAACTAAAGGGAAATGGATGTAAATCTCTGCCACTGACCTGATAACTATAGACTAGTGGGAAGCTGTGCCCTGGACTTTCAGGAAAAGTTTATTGGTAAGAATAAAAAACAGGGCCATCTCTAGTTTAGAGAAAAAGCAGTTCTTGGTTGCTTGCTTCCTCTTCCATGCCAGAAAGATCACTCGGTCTCCCCTCTGGCATACAAAGAGACTAGCCTGTTGCTATGGGAACCAATAGACTTACTCCCCCTTTTCCTCACTTGGCAGCTCCCCAGAGTCCCCAGTCTTGCCATGCAGTCAGTTGGAGATGGAGTGTCCTCTCTCCCTTCCTGTTGAATGATGGCCTGAGTTGGAAAGTACAACATGGTGGAAAGGACAGAATCATCTTGGTCCTGGGCTCACTTCCTATTGACAGTTGGGTATATTACAGGCATGGGAATTGGGTGAGAATGTTCAATGAAACTGCTGTAGAAGGGGTGGTCATCTGATTGGTCATCTCTCATTATCTCTCAGGGTAAAGATTCCAGTAAACCAAATATTCCAAATAATTCTTCCTGGCTCCATTACCCAAAGTACATTCCACTTCATATTCTTCTTCTTTGTGCACCAATATAGGACTGGGAAGGGGAGGAACTGCTACTCATTCAAAAATAAGGAGCACAGGGGCTTATCATAAGCCAGCAAGACACAATGGAGGACCAGAGGAATCTTTACAGGAGTAGACAATGGCAAAAAAAAAAAGGCCATGGGATTCATTTGCTAGGTAACTGGGAAAGAACCGATACATTTTTGAGTCCAGCTTTTTAGATGAGCGGGCAGAAGGTAAAAATGTAATGGAAAGCCACATCAAATCCCCCAAAGCAATCTTGCCCATGTGCATATGTGGTCTGCTTGTACGCAGCCTTTGCTAAATCTGGCCCTTGAAAGGATTGGAGTAGCCTGCTTCTCCTGCAGGAAGTCTGAGGCTCAAGGAACCTCAGATGCTGGCATCATGAAAGGTAAGAAAGGTAGAGGTGGCAGTAGCCATTGACTGCCTGAAAGAGAAACATGCCTATGGTAGAGAAAGGTATTAAGATGTGATGTACAAATTTCACCAAAAGCAACAGTCCAATCCAATTGTCTTGCTGATAATAGACCTAGCATTTCAAGTAACTGTTCTAGCAATTGTTTTTACTTTCTCTGTTAATAGGCTTAGCATTTTAAGTAGCTGTTCGAACAATTAGTTTACCTTCTCTCTTTTCCCATTAGAGGTTGGATCACAAATGAATGTGAATGTCTAATCGCTGGAATTGGGCTTTCCAAAACTGAATGTACTGTAAATTGAGAGTTGTAATCTAGGATCACATAATTGACTAGGCCCCTGTACATAAAAATGTACAAAAAACATTGTGCAATCTCCTAGGCTGATGGAAAGCTCTTGCAGGTAATAAAAATGAGCTACCTTAGTGAACAAATTGTCTATCACAAAAAATGGTAACTAGCATTTTTTAGTTAGCAGAAAAGAGCATTAGTGGCGCAGTATTTTTGCAAGCTAACTCTGCCAACTGCCAGCAATTTGATTCTGACCAGCTCAAGGTTGACTCAGCCTTCCATCCTTCTGAGGATGGTAAAATGAGCACCCAGATTGTTGTGGGTAACATGCTGAGTCTGTAAACCACTTAGACAGGGCTGTAAAGCACTATATAAGTCTGTGCTATTGCTATTAAACTGTTCATGAGAAAGATCAGCAATAAAACCCATTGAAACAGAATCCCACACTCCTAATAAGTAAGGGAGGAGCTAAGGTAAATTGGCCAGACCTTAAGAAATACTCTTAACCTCAGCCACCAAATTTCTCTAACCGCTTTATGGGCAAACATTTTAGCTATTCAATTCATAATTAAAGCCACACTGTGACTTCTCTTCATTGTTTTCAATAATTTCGCTCTGCATGATCAAATCCCCTTAGCAGAACAGAATTGGAAGGGACTGTGGAAGTCTTCTAGTCCAATCCTCTGTTCAAGTAGATAATCCTATACCATTTCAGACAAATCGTTGTCCAATCTCTTTTTTAAAAACTCCAGTGATGCAACATCTTCTTCCCAATCCACCAATTCTGTTCACTTGAACAATACAATCAATTTGAAGAGCTTGTCCACCATTCATTTCTACAAACATAAGTCTCTACTAATTGTGTGGACAGTTTATATTCTTTGCACTGGGAGCTCACATATGAATCTAGCTATTGCACCCAGATCTAGAGCAGGGATGTCAAAGTTGCGTCTTCATAACGTAGTCACATGATGTGACTTTCCCCCCCCCCTTCGCTAAACTGGGCATGGGTATGGCCAGCACATGATGCATCTGGTCCACCGGCTGTGAGTTTGACAGCCCTAGTCTAGAGGAATTGAGAATTGAGTATGCACAAAATATAAAAGGGATAATAAAATATACTTGCCTGTTGTCAGCAGCCAAAGCTCTTCTTAACTGTCTTGAGGTCAAATCTGCTGAGCTCTTGAGAGTGAACCCTGCAAACATTTCAAAAGCTGAGGCTCAGGCACTTGCTTGTTTTGTGGTCTGCAGTTCCACGAGTGTGGCACTTGGCAACTGGGGCCAATACCTTAATGGGGCAAATCTTAACTCAGTGTCCTGGAGCTCCGCTACAGAAATGCAAACCAAGATCTTTCTTCTTCCGCTTCTCTGTTATGGATATAATCTTATTGCTCCTTTTGCATAGATTGTCCAGCACTTACTTCCAAGGCTATGGGGAGGAAGAGGTGAATAGAGTCCACAAAAGTTCTTTCCCTTTCCCCTCCTATGCCTTGTCTTCTCCATTCACCTATGAATTAACACACAATTTTGTAACAATTTGTCTGAATTCTATGGTGTGCCTTGTTTCACTAATTCACTCCTGAGTTCATCATGTTTTTCTTGGAACTGATCAATCAGAGTAAGATCACTCCACCCCATATCCCTAACATGTGATTGCAAATCTGATACTCTCTCAAACTCGGTGGTTGCCTTGTTTCAGCTTGCAAATCTCTCATTTCCTGTCACTGTCCTGAGTTGTTAAATGCAGCTATATATTTTTACATACTGTTCTCATATTTATCCAGCAATGGATCCATGCCTTCAATGAGGAACATAACTCATTTGGCTGAGGACACTCTGAGGGCACTAGGAACAAAAGTTGAAATGATCTGTAAAAATTATGTTTGCTGACATTCCCTAAACAATTTACAATGAGTTGTGAAAGTCAGAAACTGGTTCTGGGTTCTTCCAACTTCCTCAGAAAACTCTTATGAGAGTGAAGAAATAACTACGTTGGCTGTAGCTGTTGAGATGCTCCTGGTTGAGGTAAGCTGTGTCCCAAATGCAGAATTACTTGTACCACTTGCTGTTAAAATTGTTACAATGCTTCGGCAGGTTCTATTGCAACCTTGAGTTCCTCAAGGATAAACTGCCATCTCTAAAATCAAAGACAAGGGTTGATGTTTCTCCGAATAAGGAATATGAGGCTTTCAAAACTGATACTAGCTCTTTGACGTAGGTCAGGAAGCAGGCACCACAGAACTACTGGAACTCTTCTCGACTACTAGAGGGTATAACAACAGACTCTTGAAAGCCTTACTAAATTTCCTTCTGCATCCTCTTATTCTAAAAAGAATCAAGGTGGGATTATTTTGGGTTTCTCACCCTTTCCTCTTTCCCAAGACAAAGCAGAGTTTACTATTTTTGCATTCCTTTAACGTTAGCTCTGTAATTCCCCCACAAAGTGAAGTTAAAAGCGTCTTCCTGGATTTTCTTAATCAAGGTTTGGCATTAAAGTCTCAGTAGGACTGTTTTCCTTAGCGGGATTTAACCTCCAGTTTACTTATCCCGGTGAATTTGTTTCTACTTCAGTGAAATGAGGGAGCTTGAGGCGCTAAGGAACAGCCTCCTGCTGGAGATTAGATTGGCTCCCACATTACTGACCCTTTTAAAGCTTCAAAAACCTGAATTGTTTCACATTGCCTCAGGGAGATGAGAAGATGCCTTTGATTTATGATACTATTTTTCTTTGATTTAGTTCAATCTTATAGTATGAATATTTTATTATAATTATATTATATTGTTTATTGCCATGTGGTCTGAGTGCAATGGCAGGTAAATATCTACCGTAATAAACAACTAATAATCATTCCATTTGTCAGAGTTTACATACAACAGTGATGATTTGATTTTTAATACCACAGACAAAATGCACAGTATGATCACATTAGAAATTATGGCAGTTCACTGCTGTAGTAAAATGCTGAAAATTAATTCACAATAGATTGTCTCATTTTCTTTGAAACTGGTCAACAACAAATGAAAAATGCTACCTTTGTCACCATTAAAAATGGTTTAATAGGCAAAAAAAATCTTACAGGGAAAACAGAACTAGAAATGGTATACTGATCTATGGTAAGTGAAATAGTGCAGCACTACATACATGTCGAGAACAAGTTTGGTATCATGATTAAAGCACCAGAAGGACTGTGGATTCTAGTCCAGCCTAATGCCCAAAACCAACTGGGACACCTTGGGCCAGTCATTCTCTTTCAGCCCTAGGAAGAAGGCAAGGGAAAACGACTTCCAACATTTTGCCAAGAAAACTGCAGGGACCTGTCCAAACGGAGTCAAGATTGGCTCAAAGTCAGACACATTTAAATGTCTTATTGAAGAATTGCCCCTCACTAAGGCTAAGGCTAAGAATACTTTTTTGTCAGGAATCAGACAAAGTTTTAACATTTAATGAAAAGCTAACTCTTAGTAATCCCACCAAATCGACATACATGTCTTCAATTTCAACACAAAGTGGACTGCAAGTATTTCCAATTTCTTTTAAGGGTGGTTCAGACAGTGCCTTCCATTTGACATTCCTTTGTTTCCCCTCCATGTTTTCCACATACAACATCAACAACAAAGAGTTGAGCAGGGCAAAACAAAGTAAATGGACAATGCCTTTTGATTGATTTGTCAACCTTCAGGTATATTAAATCTCTTCCCTTAAGGCAGGGCTGTCAAACCCGGGTGCATCACAAGCTGGCCATGCCCACACCCAGTTTAGGGAAGGGAGAAAAATCACGATATATCACGTGACGACGTTGTGACGAAGAACTAAGTGGGCGACATATTTGACTAGAATAGGAAAATCTTTTGAATTCTTCCATTTTAAGAATCTGAGGATTTGTATCCTCAGACTATGAAACAACTAACCACTGGTTTCCTCTACTTAATGCAACATTTAGAAATTACAGCATTAAAGTGGCATATTTATCTAAAGTGGATACTCCTATTCTTCCACAAAGGTTACAGTAGATATACATTTTTCTTGCACCAGTATCTTAGCAACAAGACAAAGGCATCTATGAAACTGTTTTTAAGTTCTTTGTCTGCAATTGAGTATGCAAAGGCAAATTCTGGAGACAACAATTTAATAATACTCATTACTTGCAAATAAATAATGTGAGTTGTATGAACAAAAACCTCCTAGTTCTTCCTTCTGTAAGAATAAAGCAGTGATAAATGTGAGATATAATCTATACTATAACATCACAGAAATTCTGACAGAAAAAAATTATATCTTTTTCTGCCAAAAAGGTAACAATGGAAGACTACACGAAAGCATTTGTTTTTTAAAATGAAGGCTGATTGATAGCAGTGTTGTCAAATGGAGACCTTTCTTTGCATTTTTGAAGATCCAGTGACCCCTAGTGATACTCTGAAAGGCCAACTGATGCTTGATATGTTTGAGAAGCACTGATTTGCATGATTGCTCCTATGAGTACTTTATCTTACTTTATCATTGGTTTGCTTCAACTATTTTTGGGGGGAATTTCCAGGTTAATTATTGCGCAAAATGCACTCTTACACAGAATTCTATCCAATGTCCCCAGTTCATCTCATGAAAACATACAGATTAATATTAAAGATGTCATTCTGGAATAATAACAAGAGAAAACAACGTTCGAACATCCTCTGAAGTTGGAATCTAGATAAATCACACCACTGTCTAGGAACAACCATGCCCAAGAACCAAATAACCAAAGAGGTGCTTCCTCTACCACAAAATCTATCATTGCCTGTAATTCAAACAAATCAACGAAAATCCAAATGTAAAATGGTTTTTTTAATTACTAAATTAAGACAGTTAAACATTTAAAAAACATAAACTTGCAAATAAAACAATAACAAAATGTAATTAAGATCATAGCATTATTTTTAAAAAAACTTATAAGTCGAAAGGACTGGGGTTTTTGTTTCTTTTTGGTTAGAAAGAAAGAAGGAAAGAATTCAAGGTTGATAGACACAACTGAAGAAGTAATATTTTTGTGCATCCCACTGCTCTCATTTCCCAGAAAAGAAGTGCATAGTAATTCTACTGAAACACTTGCAGACATATTGAAAATAATTTCATTAGCAGTACAGGACATTTAAAACACCTATATAATGATGGAAAATGGTACACAGAAAAGATATTCTAGCTGAGCTTGATGAATGAAAAAGCATCTTGATATGACTAAAAGGCTATGAGGTTGAGACTATTGCATGGGATTACAATGTTTATTATTTTTTAAAAAAATCAGAAAATTCAGTTTACATATTTTGATACACAAAAGCACTTGCAGTTTCAACCTTCCGGTCCAGGCAGGGGTACTTTTCATTAATTAAGTCTGTTTTAATTCTGATCCCAAAATCAAACTACACACTTGGCAAATGTTGTTGAAATGTTGTACATGAGTTTTGAAAGATCAAAACTTATAACAACCTACAGTTATATAGTAAAACCAAAAAGTGCAATCCAATTTAAAAAGTCATGCTGGGAAAAAGCCAAATATTCAGTCACCGGTTTTAGAATCATCACCAGTGTTCAATGTCCCCAGTGAAGTCTTTCTGGGTGCTTTAGCATTATGGAATCTGTTTCTGAAATGAATTTCCTTTAGCTATATAGCACCTGTGGACTATATATACAGGTATGTATATATTTTACATATTTCTATATATAAAAGAAACAAAACAAACCTCCAAACACTGGTCCTGATTTTATTTTGTTAGAATATGAAAAAATGTAGACAAAAAGAGGCCACTTCTGGAAAATAATACTTTCGTTGAATCAGGAGAAAACTAGTTAAAATCACATAATTCTGCATTTTGTTTTAAAAAAGGAAAGCACTAGGATAAATTATTGGCACTGAATTATTATTTACAGTGAACAAAGATTTTGCAGTTTACATAACATTAAAACAATGTAGTTTCAAAGTCTTTGATTAAGAAAAAAACCCCCACGTGTTCACCTTTCTGTTCGGAGAAATTCAGATTTTTAGGACACATAGTTTTAGAAGTTCTCATCTTCTGGCTTCAGTATATTTGGTGCTCTAAGATACAGCCTTGAACCATTCAACCTATGTCAATTGCAAATGTAACACCTGGCAACTGGTTTGCGCAGCCCTGCAAATTACAGGTTATCACCTGGTTGGTATTGGGGTTCAGTTGCCGTAAAGTAGTCTTCCAGGAAACCCTGCAAGTACTCAAAAGTTGGCCGCTCTTCTGGGTCTTTTTTCCAGCAATGGATCATGAGCTCATGTAGAGATATTGGGCAATCTTGAGGACATGGCATTCTGTATCCTCTTTCTACCTGTTCTAGGACTTCACGATTATTCATACCTTATAGGAAATATAAACAATGTTGAAGAGATGTAAAAAATAGAATCTTGAGTAGGGTTGCAATATAATTTTTATCTGAATGTGAGCTATTTATTTGGAAAATAGATTTTTCCCCAAATGTTTATTATGAATGTCTTATTGGACAGGCACCCCTAACAACCACCGCTATATCATGTGTGCTCTATGTAATTGATTTTACATGATCAATGTTTCCTGACTGAATCCTGAAATAGACAAAGGTAGCATTTTTCATGCAAAATATCATGAACCTATCACTTATTTGGATCTATCAGTTAAAGTGCTTGATTTCACTTCGGTTTTCTTTTCTTTAATTTCTATTTTCCTCTTACCTGGATATGGTACTCTCCCTTTTGTTACTAATTCTGTAAGTAATATCCCAAAGGACCAAACATCAGACTTTATTGTAAATCTTCCATATAATGCAGCTTCTGGAGCAGTCCACTTGATAGGAAATTTTGCACCTGAGAGAACACAGAAATCATCAGTAAGCCTTTCGTTGTGAATTAATGGCTAATAAACCTATATAGGAGAATGAAAAATAAATAAATATCAAAAAAGTTATTAACTGCATTCTTCTTGTGAAACCTTTGTCGCGTATTTTAATAAATGATCCCATTTGAAACATAATTCAAACCTTTTTATCCGACACTGAAGTCTGAACTTTTGGAACACAATGCTAACCTTTCTGTTTCTATATTTCTCAAATAAATTTGTGTTTTCAAATAAATGAAAGGCAGAACTTTCAAATAGTGTATTTGTATTCATGGAAACCATATTCATGTTCTAAGACCTAACTGCTCAATTACTTAAGCATTCTAATTGTTTTCCTGTAGATTAAGTCGACAGCCCCATTACATCCCAACTGTGATTTGGTTAGAATCTGAAGTGTTTTGATATAGCTCTAAATCTTTATTATGGCTGGTTGCACAGTCAGCCAGATGTTTGGACTGGATTTGGCCTTTTTATTGCCTTTCCTTGGGATATGCAGATATTATTGTTTGATGCTGTTAAAGGTGTAAAGTGTTCCAAATAAAGCTGCCTTTTGCAATTGACTGGTGGTGATTGTGTCAATGGCAATGGTATTCAATAGTGCCCCAGAAGTTAGGGGTCTGCACTCTTTTGCCACAATCTCTCTACTTTATTTGCAGGATCTTTGTATTTTGTCTTCTCCAATTCTTTCTCTTCTATTCTGCCATCTTAAAGTACTGCAATGCTCACTATCCAGACATTTGACTTTATTGCTAATTGTTAAGTCCAAGATGTTGTGTGGCAGATGCTTGTCTGTTTGAATTCTAAAGCATCAGAGCATTTTAGCATCTTCATTTTCTATTACTTGGTCTATTTTGTGGTACCACCAGTTGTTGTTTGCAGGCAGATAATAGTTCTTGCAGATTATTATTATTTTGATGAATTGTGGTCAGCAAAGTAATAAGTATCATTTTGGTTTAAGTGAGTCAACCCTGTTAGACCTGGGTTTCCACTCTGTTAGAGAATTTAGCTTTGTGTCAAATATAAACGATGAATTGAAAGAGGAAAGAAAAATGTTGATACACCTAGGAGTAGGAAACTAATTAATTTCAATAAAAACAACAATAACATTATTATCTGCTGGAACACTTGAATAAAATGCTCACTTAAAATTCAGGAGGTACCAGTGACTGATATGATTCAGTATTACAAACTATTCACATATCAAAGATACATGTCTGTTGGCTTAGCTGATCTGCAGTTCCGATATCTGGGAAAACACATCATTATCAAGAGTAAAATGTATCCAATTTACATCTAGAATCATAAGACATTTAGAAAGAGCATGATACAGTTAGCAATTTAAAAAATAAGTTTTTATGTAAGCTTCTTATATCTTTCAGAACTTGATCACAACAATTACCATTTTTTTTCCGAAGAATGAATACAAAGATTCATACAATTCCTAGGTAAAATGATCTGTAAAGCTGTTTGAATTTGTATTGTTTCAAATTTGAAACAATTTGACAAAGCAAATTTCTTTTCAAATTAAAAATGGTTTATCGTGGATGTGAAACTATTGTCCAGATTATGACAACTACAAAATGGGTGCTTTACAGCCTATAACACACTTCTGGCCATTGCAAAATGTTGCACCACCACCTCACCATCACTGTTACATGATCTGGGTGCTTGGCTGTTTATAGTTTTCATTTATGACCGGTTGCCTCCCCGAGAAAGTCAACAGAAGGGAAAGTCTTCCATTGAGTTGAAATGGAGCTCACAATCTGAAGATCCTAGTTTTGTTCCTTCAGTGCTTCAAAGAAATTCCCTTCCATGCATATAGGGAGTTGAACTTAATAAGCAGCTCTCTTTAGTTCTGTCTGCTTAATGATCTAGATAACTGCAACCAGTAGTGCCAGGTTGGTGGTCTTGCATGAACCAGTCATGTCGGCATCTTGCTTAATGACCACTTCACTCAATGACTAACATTCTGGTTCTAATTGTGGTTGAAAGTCGAGGATTACCTGTACTCGGAACATTTTGAAAGCTTGAAGAAAAGTTCTCTTGATCATGAAACTTTTCTAAAATGCTTTAAATATTTCAAAACTGCTTAAAACCTGTTCTATGTACAAAGTGGTTTATTTCATTTGTCAAAACAGCCATTTTGAATTCAAAATGCTTTGTACATTCTTATTACGCAGGGTTCTTTCAATTATCAGCCGTCTGGCTTTAACTGAAATTACTACAAAACCATATCTGTCCCTACAGCTATATTAGCAAAAAGCAAGTAATACATATAGAGATTATCCAAATAAGCAATTGAGAAAACATTTTTCCATTTATACCAAGTCTTTTATCAAACAATATTTACCAATTTGCCATTTCACACACAGGACAAAAAAGCATAAGTATCTCCTCCTTTATGTTTGTCATTATCAAAGTTACTGTAACTGTGTTATAACTATAAAAGTGTTAGGAGAAACCTGTTTGTAATATTCCCCCAAAACGACAATTTGTACATAGCTTAAATTAACACAAATAAATTCAAAGACCCTAACACACAGCAGATCCTCAGAATATATCCAATGTTCCCACTATTTTACCTAACCTTCAGCTATTTCTGTACTCACTGAAAATTCCATTAACCATTTTGTATTATACACTGCTCAAAAAAATAAAGGGAACACAAAAATAAGACATCCTAGATCTAAATGAATGAAACATTCTCATTAAATACTTGGTTCATTACATAGTTGAATGTGCTGACAACAAAATCACACAAAAATTATCAATGGAAATCAAATTTAGCAACCCATGGAGGTCTGTTTTTGGAGTTACAGTCAAAATTAAAGTGGAAAAAAACACTATAGGCTGATCCAACTTTGATGTAATGTCCTTAAAACAAGTCAAAATGAGGCTCAGTAGTGTGTGTGGCCCCTACGTGCCTGTATGACCTCCCTACAATGCCTGGGCATGCTCCTGATAAGGTGGCAGATGGTCTGCTGAGGGATCTCCTCCCACACCTGGATTAAAGCATTCCCCAACTCCTGGACAGTCTGTGGTGCAACGTGACATTGGTGGATGGAGTGAGACATGATGGCCCAGATGTGCTCAATTGGATTCAGGTCTGGGGAACGGGCAGGCCAGTCCATAGCATCAATGCCTTCGTCTTGCAGGAACTGCTGACACACTCCAGCCACATAAGGTCTAGCACTGTCGTGCATTAGGAGGAACCCAGGGCCAACCGCACCAACATATGGTCTCACAAGGGGTCTGAGGATCTCATCTTGGTACCTAATGACAGTCAGGCTACCTCTGGCGAGCACATGGAGGGTTGTGCGGCCCCCTAAAGAAATGCCACCCCTCACCATTACTAACCACTGCCAAACTGGTCACGCTGGAGGATGTTGCAGGCAGCAGAACATTCTCCACAACCTTGTCACGTCTGTCACATGTGCTCAGTGTGAACCTGCTTTCTTCTGTGAAGAGCACAGGGTGCCAGTGGCAAATTTGCCAATCTTGGTGTTCTCTGGCAAATGCCAAATGTCCTGCACGGAATTGGGCTGTAAGCACAAGCCCCACCTGTGGACGTTGGGCCCTCATACCACCCTCATAGAGTCTGTTTCTGACTGTTTGAGCAGCCACATGCACATTTCTGGCCCACTGGAGGTCATTTTGCAGGGCTCTGGCAGTGCTCCTCCTGTCCCTCCTTGCACAAAGGTGGAAGTAGCGGTCCTGATGCTGGGTTGTTGCCCTCCTACGGCCTCCTCCATGTCTCCTGATGTACTGGCCTGTCTCCTGGTAGTGCCTCCATGTTCTGGACACTACACTGACAGACACAGCAAACCTTCTTGCCACAGCTCGCATTGATGTGCCATCCTGGATGAGCTGCACTACCTGAGCCACTTGTGTGGGTTGTAGACTCCGTCTCATGCTACCACTAGAGTGAAAGCACCGCCAGCATTCAAAAGTGACCAAACCATCAGCCAGAAAGCATAGGAACTGAGAAGTGGTCTGTGGTCACCACCTGCAGAACCACTCCTTTATTGGGGATGTCTTGCTAACTGCCTATGCTTTCCACCTGTTGTCTATTCCATTTGCACAACAGCATGTGAAATTGATTGTCAATCAGTGTTGCTACCTAAGTGGGCAGTTTGATTTCACAGAAGTGTGATTGACTTGGAGTTACATTGTGTTGTTTAAGTGTTCCCTTTATTTTTCTGAGCAGTGTACAAACATATAGCCTTTCAATACTTTAACACTTTCAGTCCCATCTTTATAACCTTTTAGCCTTTCTAGGAAACATCTAGAAATATTTTAACATGACTTGATCACTTATTTATGGTTTCCAAATCTGGGATGAGGCTGTGGTACTGGAGATAGAATTTTCACAAATTACTTTTTATTGGCCAATGTACATCCATCTCTTGCTTATGATTTATGGAAAATAATGTTGATCATCCTATTGGCTCTCACCTATAGTCAGCATAGCTGTTAGAAATCAATACAAAAAGAATCAGACTAAACTCAGAATTCTATGATCTGCAAATTAACAGGGGATGGGTATCTTAACACCATCTGCTTCCTTTAGTCATGTCTTCAGGGATTCAAGAAAGCTTTTGGGGGATGGAAGAGGCAGGAAGTCAGCCCAATTAATGTCAAGTACACAATACTGTAAGAAAAAGAAAAGTCTGTTTTTGAAATTCAGCCTTCAGGTCTTCATAGGGGTGAGTATATCCTGTCTCTAGAAGCTACTGCCAGCTTGTATCACATTTTTCCAGCCAGTGTTCAGTTCCTGCATGTCAAAACCCCACAGGAACACTAGCTAGTTAGATAAACAATCAGTCCTCTAGCTATACCCCAATGGAAAATCTATGTGACAAGATCATGGAAGTGGGGGGTGGGGTGGGAGAATGCATGCCAGAGCCTCTAAGAATTAAGATACCAAGAGCAGCAGAAAAGCATTTGTCCCAAAGATGCTTTTTCAAGAGGCAACTGGACTTTCTCGTTTTTCTTTGAAGGGCTTTTGCTTCTCATCCAAGAAGCTTCTTCAGAAAGTCCAGTTGCCTCTTGAAAAAGCACCTTTGGGACAACCATGACCTGGATGACTGAGAATCTCCATAGGTAGAAAAGCATTTGATTGCTATATTTTGAATATAAAGAACATATTTAGAGAAACTCTTAATTTTTAAATGTGGTCTATATTACATGAAAACTAAAAATGTACCTATGATTTTCTCTAATATACTTAGATAATTTTTTTCAAACTGATTATAGTTTTCACTATGAAAAGATTTTCTATTACATGCTGTATGGGTGAATTTGCTAGAACACAATAAATGTATTTTAAATTTATTTTAATAGGAAATCACTTAGTTCCATTTGTGGAAACCATAATTGGCCAACAACCTATGAAGACCTAGTGTTTAATAGTACAAATAATTAGGATTCCTCATGTTTATCACAAAAAATGAAGTCACTATGATAGAACATGTATTCCAAGATATTTTCAATATGGCACTAGACATTTTTTTAAGGGGAAAGTTACTAAACACACACACACACACACCATTCACAGAAACTAATGACCAAGAAAGTTGGTAATAAATTATTTCTGTTGCTTAAATGTTTGGAGTTATTTGTTTTAAATGTTTGGGGTTATAATTGCAATCACTCTTGCTGAAGACTACTACTATTTCCAAATTTGCCAGAGAGGTCATAAATAAAATAATGATAAATATCTTTCCTATTCAGTGGACTTGGCAATTACAATTTTTATCTCAAAAATTAAATGCAAATGACATTTAAAACAAGTATGCAACAGAAAGCGACCCACTTTGAGGGCATGTCTTTCTGCACATAATATTTACAAATATAACTGGTTATATTTGCCACACATCCTACCTTGTCTGGCTGTGTATTCATTGTCTTCAATTAATCTTGCTAATCCAAAATCAGCAATTTTGCATATTAGACCATTCCCCACCAGGATGTTTGCAGAACGCAGATCTCTGTGTATGTAATTCATTCGCTCTATATAAGCCATACCTGCAGCAACCTGTTTAATTCACAATACATGACATACACTAATTAATAAATACAACTTGCTTTCACAAGCATACCTTGAATTAATGACATATTCATATTTACCTGTGCTGCCATGTCTACCAGATTTGGCAATTTCAGAGCTCTTCCTTCGCCATCTTTTAGGAAATCTAGCAAGCTTCCTGCAATACAAATAAAAATAGGTTCCTAAATAATGTTTGATTGTTTCAAAATAGTTGAAAATTACATTCATAAACAGTGTTAATATAATAATAAAAATTAGAAATTTACTCCTCCCAAGCAATGTGGATTAAGGGAAAGCTGGAAATATATTCCATGATCAAAGAAATTCCAAACCATTTCTCCTTTTTTCTTGTTTTGCCCAAATCTCTTGTTCATATGATGACAAATTAAATGTATGAGGTATAGACTTGTTTTTCCAATGTTGTATTAATAATTCTTTAGCCATTCTCCATATACAAATATAATTCAAAGTTTTAAAATCAGCAATCATTTACTATCATAATAATTTTATGGATTGCAACTCTGAAAACATGTACTACATGTTTACTTATTTATAAATTGCATATGCCTTCAAAGATTAAAATCACACAGTCATAAAAAATGTCAGGTTAATATAACATTCATCCTACTGAATTCTAGGGTTAATCCAGAGGCAATTTTCAGTGATTCCATCTTCCCCGTGTAGCCAAAATATTTCAGCAAACCATCAACAGCTGCAGCAGATTTAATATATCATCCTACTTTAGAGGTAGGAACATATTTGATAGTGTGGCAAACTTTATTTGTTTTGGGACTAGCAATAGATGCCAGGAAGTGCAGAAATGATATAGTGATGTGGGTGATGCCTGAAGTTCTAAGAATGTGTGTTAAAGAGATTAGGGAGTGTTGGTTTTGGTGATTAAAGCTGAATACACTTTCAAAAGCAACCCACCCTCTGCTTTTGAGGGCAGGGGGTATCTCGTAATCATTCTTAACTTCTGGCAACTTCCCTGAAGTTTTCTTGGCAACATTTTTGGAAGTAGCTTTTTCATTACTTTCTTCTTAAGGCTGAGATAGCCCAAGTCACTCAGCTGGATGCAAGAAAGAACAGAATCCACTGCTTTCTATCTACTAGCTTGGCACCTTTAACCAGTCCATCTATCTGGTTCTCTCCTTTGCTACCCGCTCCCCATTGCATATAACAGGGAAATTTTGCCTCTTGATGATCTGCCAAAAACACTGTTGCAATTTCTCACTTAAGGAATCACTTAAGGGATTCACTATTGAATATTGGATATTCACTATTGAATATTTGCCCCACTATCAAATATGTTCCTACCTCTCAAGTAGGATGATATATTAAATCTGCTGCAGCTGTTGATGGTTTGCTGAAATATTTTGGCTACACATGGAAGATGGAATCACTGAAAATTGCCTCTGGATTAATCCTAGAATTCAGTAGGATGAATGTTATATTAACCTGACATTTTTTATGACTGTGTGATTTTAATCTTTGAAGGCATATGCAATTTATAAATAAGTAAACATGTAGTACATGTTTTCAGAGTTACAATCCATAAAATTATTGCTACCCTTTATCTAAAGCATCATTAGATAATGGTGTTAAGGCTTAAGTCCCACATAGCTTTGGATTCAGGTCCTCCCCATCTCAATATAGTTATTCTACCCCAAACAAAAATAATTCTCTACAATGCAGAACAGAAGTGATAAAGTTCCTGGAAAACTGATTTGTGTGAAGTAAGTAACAGTTGAAAAAAAATGTACATTCTGTAATATCAATTTGGCCAACACAACAAAGATGAATCCTTATTAGGACAAACGAAGCGTTCTACATTATTATTTAAAGAAACAGCAGTGCCCAGTCATGGGTAAATTATTAAAAGGAACTCTTCCCACTACTTTATCATCAGCACAGAACTTTTGTGTAGATAATATATTTAAAGAGTTCAGAATGCTTACTTAAGCATTTCTAGAGGGAGAAAGTAGCTTGATCACACAGCAATGCTGAGCTCAGCAAATTCATGAAACCAAAATATAATTACTTTAGGATGTGAAAATCAATAACCATTGCCATTTAAGGGAGAGTAAGATGCAATAATATATAAACATTTTAAGGTATTGTGGTAACAGACTTGTACGAATTGTCAAATAGGATCAGAAGAACGGAAAAGAAGAAAACTGACCGTCTTGAAATATTTATGTGAAAGGTAATCATAAAGCCATAAAAAACTGAAGGAAATAAAAAATAAAATTATTATGAATAGTCTCAAAAAATACTGAAATATAAAATAACTGGGAAATTCTGGTATTGTTTGGAAAGGCCTTAACTATTCTATCTAGATCATGCTAATAATTTCCAAAAATGTCATTTTTAGTGTCTATGGATTAGATTCCTTAGATTCCATTCAGCCCTCTCAAATCTTTGTGATTCCAGTCAAAGAGACGATGCCAATTTTTGGAGTTCAAACCATGGGTATTTGAAAATTTGAATACAACAGGCAAAGGAATATATGAACATTTAATTAAGGTTCTCGTCCAATATAAATTCCGAAGGAATATATGAAGGAACATTCATTCCTTTTACTCATACAAACTTTAATGTTTTGAATCATAATAGAACCATTCATATTTACAAAAATGAATTAATATTTTGAATACCTGGTCACTCAAAATATAAAAAACACTAAAAACAAAAATAAAAATTGCTTTAAACGTTCAGAGTGATTTTAAATGATACAGAACACTGAATCACTAATGTGAAGATACAATTTAAATGCATAAAAGAAAGTATATTTTCTTTTCAACAATTTAAAGTTGGGATATAAAACATACAAAATCTCTGCTAGATTTTTACTCAGAATGAGGCACAAGAAAAAAGATACAAGTGAAAGGATTTCAGAAAGAACTAAACCAGTTTTTGGATATTGTAGCTCAAATAGATTTTGTCTTTCAGTAAGCAACTAAAATGGCAAGGGCTTGAGGAGAGAGAGGAAGTCTTAATTGTTTGGTGGCAGTAAAACTTTTTGTGTGGTTGGGGAGATCTTTCTAGTATTACAAGGAAATTTTAGTTCTTTATTCTTTACCTTCATTTACCTTATCAATATTCTAACCCTTATATTCCCTCTTCCTACTCATTATAACTATTACACTGCAATGGCTCTTAAGAGTTGGAATGAATTCTAGAGGCAATGTGGCATGTTCTAATGCCTTATTATCTTATTATTATAATTAACATAGGACATTTTGTCAAAACATTATCTGCTTGTTATAATCTGACACAGAAACATATATGCTACTTTCAAAGATTTTATGGGTTTGATGGTAAGAGTCTAGATAAGAAAAGGGTATAATTATAGATAAGAATGAAATGAATGAATGAAATGAATGGTATCAACATTGTATAATTAATTAAATACAAGGTAGGCTTAATAGCAGAGTTTAATTTGCATTCTGCAATCTATTAAGTACACATGCTTCTTATCTTACCTTTACCCATATATTCTGTGACAATGTAGATGGGTTCTTCTGATACCACAGCATAAAGTTGGACCAGTTTGTCATGCTTTAGCTTTTTCATGATCTGGGCTTCTTCCAGGAATGATTCTGGGGACATAGTGCCAGGCTTCAATGTCTTTATTGCCACTTTAGTATTCCCATTCCAAGTACCTATTAACAGATGGATAGATGACTAAATAAATTTTACACATTCCTGACTGAGAACTAAACTACAGAATGCTATTTGCAGATATTAAAGCAGCCTTTCCCAATCTGATTATCCTCCAAATGCATTGCTTTTCAACTATCAGCATCCTTAAGGCACAGATCTGAAGAGCACCAAGTTAGGGAAGGCTGCTGTGATACCAAAAATGAGTTGGAAAGATTAATCCATAAATGTTACATATAAGAAGCAGTGAACACTAATGCAGTTGCAGAAAATTGGTGATCCAACTACTTCAAGTTAGGTTCATCCTCTACAGTTGAAAGAGGGATGAGTACAAACATGAAAAACCTATCTTAATGACTTAGTTTATTGGGTGATTTAGTAGAACAAGGTACTTGAGTCAAATGCATTTCACAAAGCACAGCACCAAGCTCCTGGGGATGTGGTGGGGGGGATGAATTCAAGTTCATTAGAAGATTCCAAATTATTGAACAAATTTATTGGGCTGAAATGTATTGATAAATATTCTTCTGCTAAAATTGCTATCCTTTTTTTTAAAGTCATAAACAAACCTCTTTCTACTGGAGAAAGACTGCACATAGGGCCAAAGCAACACACAACATAGTATTCTTTACAATATAAATAATAGTAAAACATGAAGGCAAGGATTCCATGGACTCTTGTCCAAATTAATTCTCCTCTAGAAATTATGAGGATGCTAATGAATAAAAAAATTCATAGATCAGCTAAAAATGTGATTTGATCTGTCTACAGCTCAGAATTTGTTTTATTTCATAATCATCTATGGAACTATTTTTTGTTAATATTCTAAAACTAGGAACTTTTATTTTTGAGGGAGGAAAAAAAGATTGAAAGCTAGACAAATGTTAACTAATATAATGAATTCGTTTTCACATATGCTATAGAGTTGACAATTTGCATACTAAAAGAAAGCTATAGCCATGTGGCTCAGCTATTTATTAGTAACTAGCAAAAGACTGTCCCAATAATTATATGCAGATAGAAGCTTTTTTGCTATAAAGTAAAAAATCCATGTTTGAAATTAAATCTTGATTACTATATCAAAAGGATTTGCATCCCTGATTACTAGACACTTTATCTGGTCTCATAAACGCTAACAAGAGCTCCAAGAAATGAACCAGCGCACAATAATGGGATCTTGGACCATATAAATAACAGTAGAACTTGAGAACTGGAAATCTCCAATTCTAGAATCAACAATGCATTTTTTTTTTTACAATATAACACAGAAGACAACATATGTTTTCTTTCTGTGCTTGTATGGACTAGGAAAATAAGCCTAGCATTCTCTTAGGTGACAATATTAGTTCACTGGAATTTGTGTTCATAATGCCTTTCTTGTCTGAAATTGACTTCTTTCCTGATGGCTTTAAGTATCCATCCCAAACCAGAACAGTTTTCGCTGCCTTACCACTCCACACTTCAGCGAAACAGCCCTGACCCAGCTTCTTTTCCAGAAACAATGAATCTCGTGCAACTTCCCATGCATCCTTAGCCAATCCGACAGTTTGTGGAGTATAATTCGATGCAATCACAGTTAAGTTAAAACATAAACCATCAGCTTTCTCTACAGAAAAGGAAATTAATAAAAGAAATACTTATAATTCATAGAGTAATTGCATGCACAGGGAAAGATGGAAGGTGCTTTGTTCCCTCATTAGTTACCATTCAGTAACAGTTTTGATTCTAGACAGCCGACTCACAATAAATATTTCCATAGCTACACTATCTGATTAGTATATTTGAAAACTGAAGGCAGCTTGCTAAAGCTAGCAACTAAACCCATTGCATCACTTGTCTTTTTATCATTTTTTTTTAAATTATAAGTTTTTCAGAGAGGAGCGTATTACTCTAAGTAACGGAAGACATCTGTTCTTCCCGTTGCTGATCCCTATTACTTTTGCTTCCACCTTCCATCTTCCGTACCTGTCCCCAATAGCTGGGGGCTGACTAAATAAGTTAAAATATTTTCTCAGCATACCCATCCATACTTCCCCAAACTGCCCATTTCCCAGTCTCTTGATCAACTGTAGTGATTCTCGTGGAATTTCCCAGACATCTTTGGTTTTGACAGACAGGTCAGTAAGCCTTGGCATTCCTTTATGACAAGGGACTACTAAGCGGCAGCAAAGACCCGCAGCTCTCTCTGATGAAGGAGAAGTAAAGCACAGGGAAAGAAAAGAGTAACAAACATCAAACAAACATAGCAAGCACAGAAGAAAAAACAAACAAAAATAGTGCTAGTAAACAAGTTAAAATGTCTTGTTAGTAGCATTCCAAAATAAGCTTGAAGATTAATCATCCTGCATACCACTGGAGGTGAGAACTGCTTCCATCCTTTTGGAAGACTATGAAAACTTGGCTTTGCTGGTTGGCCTGGGACCCCAAAGGGGGCACTCAACACTGGAGGTGGCTGACAGGATAATAAGACCCCATCCCCGTCCCAGCCATATCTTAGTTCTGGCTTTAGCATAGTTTTAAAATCTTAATCTGTGTAGTTTTAATGCAGGGCCCCCCAAACTTGGCAACTTTAAGACTTGTGGACTTCAATGCTGGCTGGAGAATTCTGGGAGTTGAAGTCCACAAGTCTTAAAATTGCCACGTTGGGGGACCTCTGTTTTAATGTCTTAGTATTTTAATTATTTTTCTACTAGTTTTATAATTTGTAAACCACCCAGAGTCACCTTATAGGGGAGATGTGTGACATAACAATTTAATAAATAAATAAATCCCTAAAATTTGTACTTCCGTTAATTCTGAGACCTCTGTATTTTAGATGCCACACTGCTTTCTTTTGCTTAGCTTGAATAGGAGACTGAGGTGGTTACAAAATGTAAAAAGATGAGACAAGATTCTTAAGCCTAATTCTGATTTCTGCTTTGCATCTATCTTAGAGTCTTTTACAAAGCTTCCCCAAAACATCAGGTGTTAATAAGAATGACTCTTTAACAGAAATCACTGGTCTCATTCAACTTTACTCCCGGTTACTGTTTCTTTCTTAATTGATTGGAAGGGCATTCAAATGTTGGCATGACCTATTCCAACCTCTTCTTTTCTCTCCATTATATTTCTATTCCTTTCTATTCCTCTATTCTTCTCTATTACCACTGTTAACAGGAGCACCAGTATTAATTTGGTTGTATTTTAAGGTTAATTGGATCTTAGACTTGAGAAGAAATGGGAAACATATACAATCATGTGAAAAAAATTCAGTACACTCCATGTAAAGTCTCCCCCTTTTTAAACATATATGGGCATATAAATATTTTATCTTTATTACACAGTATAGGAAGGAAATGTAACTGAAACAGCTATGAAAAACTGACTTTGTGATCATTTATTCACTAAAAAAATTAATAGATATGCCATTCCCTTCTGTGGAAAAAGTAAAAATAATCTCAAATACAGCTTTTCTTGTAACTGTCTGCCAGACTCTGACATCAACTGAGGGGATTTTTTTTTCCTAATCTTCCATACAGAATTTTTTCATCTGTGAAATGTTTGCGGGATTTCTTGTGTGAACAGCTTGAGTCACCCCCATGTCACCTCAGTGGGGTTTAGATCCAGGCCATTCCAGAACCCTCCACTTCTTTTTTTCAGCCCTTCCTTGGTGAAATTACTTCAGTGTTTAGGGTCACTGGCTTTTGGCTGAGCATCAGTCTTCTGATAGATGGCCCCACATTTTCAACCTCTGTACGAGGAAGAATTTATAGTGAATTCTAGAACAGTGAGTTGCCCAGGCCCTGATAAAGCAAAGCAGCCCCAAACCCTAACATTTTCACCACCATGCTTTATAGATGGTTTCAGGCCCTCCCCCCCCCGCCCCCCCCAGTGAATGTTCTCTTTGGCTTCCACCAAACATGACTTTTGGTATTATGACCAAATATCTCTATTTCTGCCTTAGCTATCCAGAGTACATGTTCCATAAATCTCATTCTTTGCCTAGGTGCCAAATTTAGATTTGCCCTTTTGTGTCTTTGGGTAGCAAAGGTTTTCCTCCAGCATACCTCCCAGATAGATCTAATTTGTGCAGGTTCTTTCTAATAGTAGACTCTTGCACACTGGGGAGAGCTATCTGTATGTCCTATGATGAAATGTTAAGGTTCTTAGAGACTACTATCAACCTTGTGTATTCTGCTCTCAGGTTGCTGGCCTGCCCTGGCCAAGTTGGCAGTTGTTGGAAATCTTTTCCATTGTAGATGATCTTCCAGACAGTAGTATGATTGATGTCCAATTGTTAGAGAATCTTTTAATATTCCTTCCCAAATCCATTGACATATATAATCTTCTTTCTGAATGCCTCAGAGCACTTTTGATTTAGGCATAGCAATAAAACTTCAACAACAAAAAGCATTTAAATGAGGTTTAAATAAAATTGGTTTCTCCCAAAGCCTCTCTCATGATGTTGTTTATATATGATTATACAATCGTATATATATTGTATATATAATTATATACAATTAGCAATTATGTTTATTTAAATTATACAATGGACTACAAAATGTAAATAATCTATGTATTTGTTATATCCCTTTCCTCTATCAATATTATTGAAATAAAGATCAAATACCTATATGTTGAAATATGTTTAAAAAAGAAAAACATTCAATAGTGTGTACTTTTTCACATTAGTATGAAACTTTAGGTGTTAAATGTTGCTACGTAGGTACTATGCAAAAATGAAGGGTGGAGTTTGGTCACATCTGTTATACATGGGTATCATGGTTACACATGTGTGCACATGGATATCAGAAGCAGAAATTAAGTTTTAAATCAGGAATGTTTAAGTAACACTTAAAATAAAATTTACTCAATTGACTCTTTAGGAATAAATTTACCCTTTTCTACATTTTGATATTTCTTTTAAAAAGAGGGGAATATTGAACATCCATCAAAAACAAGAAGCCCTGAAATCTTTAAAGTATTTGTTTAAAAACTCTAGGAAAAGGCAGAGTGCCAGTCACTGTTAAGTTCAGGAATATACTGATATCAGACAGTTATTTCCGCAAAGTGGAAAAAATAGTGTATACCTTGACTTAGAGAGACAGTACTTTCAAGTTTGTTCTGTAGCTATATATTGCAACTGCAGCTGAACTAAGGAAATGAAATGCAGATTTGATTGGCAAGTTCTGGAAGGATGTATAGTATATACATCCAACTGCTATTTCAGTCCTGGGTTTGGTTAATATATGGAGATCCTACTGCTACACTGCCTAATGCTTCTCTTGCCACAGCATAAGAATAATTCCTGACACTCAGCCTGCTGTTTTAAGAATAGCTGCTCTATTTCTGATATTCCAAACTATTGCAGGGACTAATATGAATAGATTCACTGAAACTGGTGAACATTTGGAGAAGGAAGACTAGGTTTTCTTCATTTAAAGGAAGATACAGGGAGGAAGTCAGCTAGAGTAAACCACAGAAGCAAAAAACCAACGCAAGCATAGGAATCCCTTGAAGGGAGTCTTAGATGCAAATAGTTTGCATATCTATTTCCAATATTTTCATTCTGATCATTCATTTTATAGTGTGGTTTACATAAAAAGTTGGTAGTATTCAACTTTTACATAAAAAGTCAGCAGCAAATAAATCATCATCTATAAATCCCAATTCTTGAAGATTATTTAATTGAAATCTAAAAGATATAGACAAATAGAAAGGTTTTCATCTGATACCAAAAATAATTCAGACTTGGCATCAAGAAAATGCAATATATAATCTGGACTTCACAATCAATGAAGCTTTTATTTCTTGTCTGGTCAATCCAAAGAAAACATTTCAGCAAAGATTATGACAGTTATCAGGTTTACATTTGGTGCAGTTTTATAGATTTAAGTTAGTGATTTTAATTGTGTCTGAGTTAAACTCGGAATCAACACAGCTGCTTCATGTTGTTAGCAGTCTAGCATTGGTATTTTGTTGGCAGTTCAACTACTGCCATCACAGTACTATTTTGAAAATATGTAGGGCATATCATATATTCTAATAAAATATTAAGGTAGCCTAAGGTTACCTCTTTCTTGTTTCATCGTTGTGCCCTTCCCCAATGTCCCAGAAGATGTTTGCTGGAGATTCTATAGGCTGATTTATCTATCTCTTCTACTGTACTGTGACTAAACAAAGGGTTCTTAGCCTTCGTAGTCTTTTTTGTAACAAGAGCCAAGCATTCTCTTTTTTTCCAAATTGCATTATGGCATGAGTGACTCTTGAAGGACAGTATCATTTCTATCACACCTAGCCTGAGATTAATGAATGCTAAAAGCAGGAGAAAGCTGGTCAGGGTTAACAGAAATAGAGCCATAACATACATCTCAGATATTGTGACATGTTTCTGAGCATGCTCAAATCATTTTGGGTGGAGTATAAACTTTTAACACTATTATTCTAAAATGTTTTTATTCATTACTGTAGCCTGAATGCTTCAATGGGAACAAAACAATCCCCCAGTCAATCTCAATCTCAAGTCTCATTGTTTTTTTCATGTTATATGAAGATGTTTGAAAGGGCAAGGAGAGCTGGTGGTGATTTACCAAGGTAGCTTGTGAAATGAAGTAGAAAACAATCAATGGTTGACGCTAAGAATTTATTATCTGAAGAGGAAACCCTACTTCTTTTGTAAAAACAGCTGTAATGGCATAATGCAAATACAGAGTTAGTAAAACGCCATTGGCTCTTGCCAGTGTATTAGTTGATGATATATTTGCCCAAATACCCTCAACAGGCCCATCATTAATTTTAAGGACTGTCTCCTATTCATTCACAGCTCTCTGGTAATTATAGATTGCTTGATAAAACTTTCAGGCAAATCTCCAGATTGTCATTCTGGATTCTGATATCTTCTAGAAATACTGCTAGGAAATTACAGGTGTTGCTATCTGAATAAGTGGATCGTACCAGGTTTATAACAGTTCATCCAGGATGATACCCCTGGAGAAGCATATACTTTTAAAGTAGAAATTTGTCGTACTAGTGACAAAACTATGCCATGGATTACTACAATATTATAACAATAGAAAAAAAAGTAAGATTAAAAAAGGAAACAAAGATATTAGAAATGAAAAGATGCAAGTGGACAGAATACAAGGAAGCCAAATAGCTTTCTAAATGCAATAGAGAGCAAGGAGACAACATCTAAGAGCTTCATGCAGTATTAATTAATGTATTAAACAATATATGAAACATAAATTTATAAATACACTCTAGTTAGCATGCATCCTTGGATGAGCAAAAAGAGAAGAATTTTTAAAAGTGCCTGAATATAGGAGAATGAATATTGCATTAAGTTACTAAAAAGATAAAATAGTTCAAAAACATTGCTAAACTGATTTTCAAAAACAATTTAGAAAACAGTTTAAATATTGAACCTTCTTGGAAAGTCATCTTAGAATAAGTAAATATATTTCTAAGGGTCTGATATGTTAAGAACTTTGCACAGAATATTGTATGCATGCACATAGTAACACTCAACCATTCTAAGACATAAGGCTATTTTTAAAAAATGAATTATCCTAAAGACATGCATTTTTACTTATTTTACAACAGTGAATAAGAGTAGATAGTAATTAGCCAATTAATACCACCTACATTCAATGAAATGAGGAAGACAAGATTTCCCCTTCCTAGCATGCTATGTGTTCTCAGAAATATTTAGGAACCTTTTAACTGGGAGAGGGCAATTAGAGACTTTCAGGGGGAAGGAACAATACTGTTAAATGAAAAGAAGCCTACTTGCAAGAAACTGGATATCCCCCTGTGCTAAAATAAAAACTATGGATTACTGCTCAAGATACAGGAAGTTTAATTTTCCCCCACCTCCTATCAACCATTAATTACCATTAATTCTAATGTTCTGAAAAAAAATAAGAACATCTTTAAGGACCTTAGAAAATATATTACTTTAAAATATTAAACACATTTAAGTATTATGATCCACAACTATCTAAAAGAATTAAGACTGTAGTTTTATAATTTGTTTATATGTAACACCAATCATGGTAGTATCAATATTTGTTAATTAGATGAAAAAATTAAGTTTCTAGGAATGTGGGATTTTTATTTACCTAAAAACAATTCTGACAGGCAGTCAGCTCTGTAATTTTAATGTACCACATACAATCTTTAGAGGCAGTTTGATATAGTTGTTAAAGTAGCAGGCTAAAACCAGGAAACTATGAATTGCAATCTTGTTAGGGACATTGATCAATCACTTTCTCTTAGCTCAAGGAAGAAGGCAGTAGCAAATGACTTCCAAAACACCTTGCCAAGAAAACTGCAAAGAGCAGTCTAGGCTGTTGTCATGAGACAACAATTACTCAAACGCATGCACACACACACTCACACAAACCCCAACAACAAAACTATCCTTGCATAAATATAGGACTAAGTGTTGGATCTTAGCCATATCAAGCAATGAGCATGAACTAAAGGCTTTCTATTTCAGCACAGTTTACAGCATTAGCTGTCAAACAGAGGAAAAGGGGAATATAATATTTGTGGAATGCTTGTACTAAATTGTACAAGATATACTCAATCGGAATATACAAGCATAATGAGGTGATGATAAGGGTCACTGGAAGGAAGGAAGAATGTTCTGTCACTTACTTAAGGTGGCATGAGCTGACAAGAACAATTTTTTATATACGATGCTGATTTGTTTACTGTCAGTTTCAATCCCAACATTGCAGAGAATGAGGGAACAGCCTTTAACTGTATAATTTGTCAACAGAAATATGTGAACAACTACATGAAATTCAAGAACTAAGCAAGTGATTAGTCCCTATAAGGTATTCTGATGATAGGTGGATGGAGATCTTTCTTTTTAAGTGCCACGAGTTACAGCAAAAAGACTTACAATTTTGAGTATCATTAAAATCAATATAACCATAAATTAAGATGACCCTAATTAGAGGTAACCTATGGGTAAAATGTATGTATCTTTTAAAACATCAAAATGTATCTTTTCTAAGAAAAAGGATTTCGATTTCCTAAGAAAGACTGTGAATTTTGGGATGTAGGGGAGACAAATTAATTTTATAGGAAATAGAAGGGAAGCCCCAGAGATATTTAAAATCTCAATAAAAAGGACTTATTCACCTTTTTTAGTTTCATGACTATGCCTCCACACTCCCAGAGTTCTAAAATTTAGTTTAAGATGTTAAAATGAAAGCAATGGTAAATTTTGGGAAATCCAATATTACGATGTGACTACAGGAAATCAATTTATGCATTTTATTAATAGCTTACCCCAAACATCCTTTTCAGATAAAGTGGTTTATATCGAAAACCGATGCAGGTATGCAAAAATTGCTAATGAAACTTAGGGAGTATAGAAATGCTCTGAGTTTATATAGTGAAAGTCATATTTTAAAATCACGAGTCTTTATTTGTTCAGATAATATGACAGGTTCATCTAAAGTATTTATCTCCAAACTAAGGACCGAAAGGAAAAAGAAGATTCTAACTTTGTTAACATTTTCTGTTTAACAAAAGATAATAAGAGAGGCATTATATCAGTAGTATTTTTAAGGAAGCTGAATTGATTTAACAACTGAAACTGAATTTTCAAGGTTACCTGAATAATGCTGAACAAGTTGTTGAAGAGTTTCAAACTGTGCCCTGGTTGTAATGTAATATCCTCCACTGTCAAGCTTACGGATTTTATAATGTTTGACATGGTCACCTTTCATATCATCCCAATCACGAATGGACAATGAATAGGCACCTATAACAAGAAAAGTTAACAGCTACAGTACATGTAAATAAATAAATAAATTAGAATATTCTAACAAAAAATATTTTAAATTATTTGCTAGCATGTTACTATATAAATCGTGTATCCAGCATATTTTTTTTGAAATTAAGGACAGCTTTTTAAAGGCACAGCATTAACAGTAATTCCGAACTGCTTAACGATTTAGAGGCTCTTTTACAATTCTTCCTTCTTCATCATATTCAGAATTGGATCTCTTTACTATCGTTTGCCACTTTCGATTTTTAGAGCACAATTTTTTAAAAAATGAAGACTTCTGAAAAGTCAACTCATGTTAGATGCTATTTTTCTTTACTTAAGACACAATCACACCCAGCACAGATTTTATAAACTGAATGTGATGTTTATCTAATAGGTTCTGCTGAATTTCAATTTAAATTATTATGAAAAATTAATTTGCTTATAGTATTTTTGTTTCATTTGAGCATGTCTCATTACCTTCACTGACGCTTTCCCTCTGTTTCTTAATTAAAACATAGGCATTATTACCTTTGGTGGTTTCACTTTCACGAATCAAGAAGGTTCCTCGTGGATTTCCAAAGGACAACAGCTGCCTCTCAGCATCTTTTCGCCCAAGTTTCCCAAAGTACCATCTGAACAAATATGCCAGAAACAAAAGTTTTCAAACTAGAAGTGGAATTGTTTTTTAAGGATTTAAAACGCTTAAGCTTGCCTAAGGACCATCTGTGAAGATCATTCAAGTTTTTCTTGTGTCTTCAGCACACTAACATGCAGACTTATCCCAGCAGTAAAAATTTGATTTCTGATTATATACTAGCAGAAGGAGCCAACACTAATAATATGATTGAGACATGATGAACACATAAAAAGTTGCAACTGTAATCACATGAATTTGCACACTGATAGGCATACCTTCTGAAAGGTCCACTGACAATGGATTACATCAGTGGTGGGATTCAAATTTTTTTTACTACCGGTTCTCTGGGCGTGGCTTGGTGGGCGTGGCCATGTGACTGGGTGGGCATGGCTTTTTTGCAGCCCCCACCTGATTTTGGGAGCTTCCTAGCCTCAGAGAAGCCTGTGGGGGGCGTTTTTGCTCCCCTAAGGCTCCTCTGGGGCTCTGGAAGAAAAGGAACAGAGCATGGGAGGAGCACGCAGCACCCCTCCAAGCTCCGTTTTGGAAGCTTCCTAGCCTCAGAGAAGCCTCTGGGGGGCGTTTTTGCTCCCCTAAGGCACCTCTGGGGTTCTGGAAAGCAAAAAATGGAGGAGGGCGCTGAGCTCCTCCCTCCATTTTTTGCCTTCCTGGGCCTCAGCAAGGGGAATCCCAGCACAGCTGATCTTATCTACAGCTGATTATCCGGAGGGGAAAAAAAAGAAAGAAATACTTTAGGCAAATGTCAGGCAGGCGGGGGAGGGTGAGCGAGCATCGGGCAGAAGGGTGACCGGGTGGGGGGCATGGCCAGCCAGAACTTACTCCTGGTTCGGCGACCCACGCCAAATTCTTGCTACCAGTTCACCCGATCTGGTGTAAAATGTAAAATGCTGCATAGCATAATCCAATTGAAAAAAGTATTTCTGATAAGTTATAGATGAGCATTGTTGGTCTAGGAGTTCATGTTTATTCAAATACTGCTTTTAGAAAGCTTCAATATTTCATTTAGTGTTGATATTCAAAACTGAAATAATAAATGTTGTCCCATCTACCTTTATTATGAATTTAGCTCTGGTCAGTTAACTAGAATAAAACCTTCACAATCTCAGTGTGTTTAAATCCACTACATTATAAAGGACATATTTCTAGACCAGAAGATTCTGGATATTTTTACACTGATCTGGTAAAAGCTAGCTCATTTCCCCTCCCCTCATCTTTTCTTTAATTACCAAGTATCTAGCTGAAAAAGGAAGCTAATGTAATGGGTAATTCCTTGAAAGTCACCAGTTTCAACTGTCCAAAACAATCCTTTTAAAAAAAGATACCTACTCTTCTGCTTGGATGGAGTCAACTGGAGCCACATAATTACTGGGAATATAACCAGTTTCTCCAGTAGTCAGGGATCGGGCTTCCCACCAATCTCCTTCCCTTCAAAGCAAGAGTTAGAAAAACACAAGATTGGTTTAAAGATAGCCATCATAATATGCCTACCTCGGTCCTGGTTCAGTAAAAGAATGCATCCTTTTTGACCATTCATAATTAAAGAAACAGACAATGGAACGTATATATATTTTTTTGTTACTACTGCCTAGAAATTCCACTAGATGGAGATCTTTTGTAACAGCCATAACACACTGCAGTTTGTGCCATGTTATAACAGAGATTCATTCAGAAAACAGAGAAAGAAAGCATTAACTGGTATTGCTGTGTTTGCTTCCATGTTAAAAGAATGTATCAGTGTGGGTGGATTCTATAGCTCTGTTGAAAAGTTGCCTGCTTGTGTAATTTTACTGACTTTCAAACTACTGCACTCTGAAATGATTGACAAAAAACTGAAAATGTTTAAAAGTTGAACTTTGAAAAAGAAACTGGAATAATAAAAAAGATCCAGCATAACACAGGGAAAAATGATTAGGCATCATTTGGGCATTTTTGATAGTATAAATATAGAAATTTTATCGCATTTAATATCCCCAATAAATTATATTCGATGTACTGTTATATATATATGGATAGCCCTACTGCTACAGATTTAGAAAACTGTAATAAAATTGCTTATTATTCAAGTATGTAATCTTTATCTTCACCAGGACCATTTCAAGGCATAAAGAAAATCAGACATTAAATAAAAATTTATAAGCAAAATATTATTATGAAAATGCTGGTCTTCTTAAAGTTAGTTTTAGTTCAACCAACTATGCTTATACAACTAGCAAAAATGTTTAGGCATAAAGAATCATGGAATATTCCGCAAATTACCTTTTTTAAAGTTCAGTTTTATAATCTGGCTGTTATCTTTGGAAAAATAACTATTTTGATTTACAGAATTTTTATTAATATTACAAGGATGGAATTGCCATTATATACACGAGAAGAAGCACAACATGCATTTAAGAGATATTTTAATATTGTACTTTAAAAAAACACTGCATTTTTAGAAATTCTTAAAGGCCTTATTTTCAGTGTTTCTACATTTATTTTAATTTCCATTCTAGAATAGAAATATTAATCCTAGTCAGTAAAGACCAGCTGAAAGATGAAAGATGGAAGGGTCCAGATTCTTCTTCTTCATAGATATCCATAACTAACTATAATAACATCAAAACAACAAAACATTAGATCATAAAATCTACTTGAGGCATGAAGTTTGCATCATAATGCAGATTTTGTCAGTCCCTTCTCTGGAATACCAGATTCTTTTTGTTCTATGATCAATCAATCAATCAATGGCCAATGACCAGCGAAGTAACTCAGTTCAAAAGTTCTTCTCATCAACTACTGAGATAATATAAGGATGTTTTTTTGTATGTGATCTGATGGAAACACATTATTTAGATGAATGGCAATAAATTTAGAAATACATGAAGATATAGGGAGAAAATTAATCTAACTCCTCCCCCCCATCCATCCCTCTTTACATACATCAAACATCTACAATATTACTGGTTTTATTTATTTATAAGATTTCTACTCAGATATTCACTGATAAACAGTGAATACTGTTACTTGTCAAAATAACAGTAGCAATAGCTCCAGCTCTTTACATAATTAACAAGTGACTATTTTGTCTCCTCTTTTATTAGCTCAAATGATCAATAATCTAAATGTCCTGCCTGATATGGAACATCTCTCAATATCACAAAATAGTTCTGTACAATCTTTAGTTACTTTAATTCAACTGACATTTTTCACAATAAAAACCTATGTTCTCTTAAAAAGTTATAAACAGGTGATCCTAATGTGTGTCACAGCTAGTCCTCGACTTACAATCATTTGTTTAGCGATTGTATGATGTTAGAAAAACACTGAAAAAAGTGACTTATAACCAGTTTTCACACTTACGACTGTTGCAGCATCCTCATAGTCACATTTAAAAAATGTGGATGCTTGGCAACTGATAAGCATTTATGACTGTTGCTATGCTCCAGAGTCATATGATCATCTTTTGTGACTTTCTGACGAGCAAAGTCAATGGGGAAGCCAGATTCACTTAATAATCATGTTACTAACTTAAGAACTGCTGTGATTCACTTAAGAACGATGGCAAGAAAGGTCATATGGAACAAGATACACTTAACTACCTTGTGTAGCAATGAGTATTTCAGGCTCAACTATGGTAAGTCGAGGCTACTGTACACATTTTAAACATTTCTGTACACAGGAATTGGCATTTAATATATAATTGCTATCAAGGGAACAAACCATCGAGACAAGGGGTGTCAAACTCGCATCGTCACATATCACGACTTTTCCCCCTTCGGTAAACTGGGCATTGCTATGGCCAGCGCATGATGCATCTGCCCCACGGGCCGTGAGTTTGACAGCCCAGATCTAAACATTAAAAAGGAAGCCATATAGTAAACAGAACTTACGAATTGTTAAGTATCTGGAATTTTTCTCCTTTATGAAAACTTAAATCATCTTCTGTTCTTGCTTCATAATCATATAGAGCTACAAAAAGAGTTACACCTATAGAAAGATAATAAAAGTGAATGCAACTTTTACAAATTGCAGTGTTTTCAAATGAATTCATTATTTCAGTGTTGTTTCTTAATGGAAGAAGGATAAATTTGAACCTCTCATTTTATTTTTCATACAGCATTTTGCATAGGGAGCCCAAAACATTTGGTTATATATGCACTATATAAATTCTAATGTCATCTTTTTCTAAAGCGCTTTGTATGTATTATCTTTGATTAATATTGTCCAGCAGGACTGGAGATTCTAATATGATTTGCAGAACACCAATGTACCAGTGGATTCTTGTTTTGGTGCTGGGTCAGGCTTTTCATTTATTTAGTGTATTAGTCACATTTATTACTACCACATCTGTGTGGCTCTTTTTCTCCCCTCTTTTCCTTTGCATATTCAAGAGGAATATAAATTTGAATTAATAAATCATATCTTGGCATGCTGCAAATTAAATTGACAACCACCAGCACTATATTTATTTCCAATAATGCAACTTAATAATGAGCTTACAAGCATCATAAGTTCACAACATCATTAGATGGCCATAAACATAAGAAACAAACACCACCTCTTTATTCTGGATATCTATGGAATAAGATCATGCACCAAACAAAATAATAATATGGTTTGTTTGGCATAGTATGCTGCAGGAGCATTGCCACTGTGATTTGTAAATCATGGTTAATGGCTTAAGTGTGTTATAGGTGCTGGCCTGCTGGTTTCACACCACTGCTTAGTGTGCTGGGTTAGTGTGCATACACTGGGTTAGTGTGCATACACTGATATTTTATTTAGGATCAACTATTAATTTCATGGCTGGTGTCAGCAACAAAAATAATGAATTTCAAATGTTATTATCTATATAGCCTTTAAGCTCTTTATGCTGATTTAGAAGTTATAGAAAATTCAACCTTAAATCTAGAAGGAAACATATTTTCAAAACTTTTATAGGAGCTGATTCCATGAGAATGTTGGGCTCAGTATATTGAACATACATGATGAGAAAACAATACCTACTAAACCAATATGACTGACCTTTGGGAGCAGAGAAGCAAACAATGACACTGGAGTATGAATAATAAGTATGTGCATATCTGAATTAATGCACTGGTGAACTCTAATAATATTTTCATCAAATACAAGAAGTATGTCTAAGATAAAGGCAAAGGGATTTAAAGAAGAAATCTACACTGATTATGTTTACTTATTGAGCAATATAAACATGCTTTAGAAAGGGAATTGATGCAGTTCTTGTTGTTGTTATTATTTACCTGTTCCTCCTCTTGTGCGCAATGTACCAGTATGTGATGAAGAATTGACACCACCAAAGACTGTCAATCCTTGTCCTCCAGCTGTGGGGAAATTGTTGTAGTTTGGAATTGAAGTCACACCAAAACTTGGGTAATGCTGAGGGGTAGGATCTGTTCCATAGCGATAACCCGAACTCTGATTTAAACTACCATCCCTCTCATCGGTCAGTTTTGTTGCTTCTTTATCCTTACATTGCACACAGCCCATTATCTAAAATCCTGCAAAAATTAAAATAAAATATACAGTGTGATATTTGTACATTTCAACTAAAGTATACATATTCAGGAATTATAGAATTAGAATCATTTTTGAGGGGCAAATACTAGGCATCCAATTGCTAAAATCAGGCTAACTTTTTTTGGGGTGGATTCTAAAAAAAGAAATTATTCTTGGACTACAGAGTTAGCATTTACAGTAATTTACAACTCTAAATTGTAAATATGATAAGATATATTATATATTTTTGTAGGGTTAAATATACCAATTCAGTTTATGTCAACTCCATTCTTTCTGCAGTGAGGGCAAAAGTGGGTATCAGTGTAGATTATGGCTTTGGATATTGTTATTAACATTATTTATGCTCAAAACGCAAGGAATCATAGATTTCATACTCTCTGCAATAAACTGGACAAACTGCAGGCTTTCTATATGTTCATGTTATTGGCAATGGTATTATTTTTCTTTATGTATGGTTAAATCAAAAAGATAGTGCCTATGACATAATTTTATAGCGTGTGGAGTTCTGACTTCTTGAGCCCGTAGCTTAACTCTGAAGATGGGTAGTTAGAATTTTTTCCCCTGCTCTTCTTCATCACCAGGTTTTCCCCCTGGCACTCCTGTTTCCTCATTTGCATCATGAACTCCTAACTAGTTTGGCCATTTCCAAGAGTGCTAGATGAGACTGAGCTGTTGGCCGGGAAAGAAACTTTACCTAGTATCTGTCTCTTGAGGAGTGAGGCAGAGGCAGCCTTAGCCCCTTCTCTTGTGACTTTGTGCTCAGCAAGCAGACATCAGCCAGGAAAACAAAACAAAACAACTCACACTGGCTCCTAGTTACTGTACAAATTAGAGGGAAACAACACAGCAAGATCTCTGATCTTACAGGTCTTTTATGCTCCTTTTAGTTGGACACAGTCTGGCCCAGTGAGTCACCTTTCCACAAAATTGTGATAAAGCACCTACATTTAGTTGTCTGGAGATAATCTGTGGAACTTTTCCTTTGGGTTTCACACTATTTGCATGCAATACTTTATAGGTTTCTGAAAAGCTTCTAGAACATGAAATTAAACAGGATATGGTTTATGGCAGGGGAAGATGAGAATATGACCAGAGATGTATTATTCACCTGCTGAGCCAACAGAAAATGAATTAATTTCCCAGTTATCAGAAGGCCAGGAAGAGAAGAAAGCAAAGAATAAATTCTTCAAAAATTTATGATCTTAGAAAACTTATTCCAATAATGAATATACCTAAAACTTCCAAGCCGTAAAAGATGATGATGGAGAGGATGATGATGATAATAGGTGTAATATTTCAAAGAGATAAAAGCCTATCTGTGCAAAAAGGTACTAAATTAATGGGCTGCGGCCAAATCTCTCCCTTTTTTGCTGGCATGTATTTTCTGTGAAAGAGATGGGGAGGAGGTACATGGAAATGTTTAATGGAGAGATTTTTTTCCCCTCCTTTTTCTGTTGTCTTTTTCAACTTGGCTCCAATATCTAGGCAATGCATTTTTAAAAGCTGCTTGATTGCAGGACTGCATAATTTGTGATGAAGGGTGTCACCTACATGTTTTTTTTTTCCAAACCAAGATTTAGAAAAGTGGTCCATTCTTTCTTGAAAACCCCATGCATGATATCATTGAAAGCTTAGTTAAGAATCTGGAGGAAGTAACAAAGTATTTACTGGATAGGATCCAAAATGACTCCAGGGCTTGTGTAGGTCATTTTAAATGCATCCTCTATTCAGCAGTAGCACAGAGCTCTAAACAGCCAGAGGACAAAAAATAAACTCCCACAGTCTTCACAACATTAGAAACATCACTATATGGATCACAGACATTTCAACATTTTAGCAAGCTAGCAACATATGGCATAGCAGGACAATGGTGATATCATTTCACAAAATCTGGAAATCATTACGGCGTACAACCAGCAAATAAGATTTTGGTATATAGTACCGGTAGTTCTAAAATGTCACATCCCTTTTTAATAATTTGGACATGACTGAGACAAATGAGTGTTTTAGCAAATGACACTGGTTTTACAAAAAAAAAAGCATATAAAGAAGTTTAGTTTGCATTTACTTCTCCAAAGCAAAAATGAGGAAGGTGCTAATTAAAGCCCATAGAAATTAGGAAATTGAGTGATACTGAAATATGTATTTCCTCATAAATTACAGGGCTTGTGTGCTTTATGAAATCAATCTCTAATCCTGTGACCACTTGACAGTATGACTGAAGTTGCAGCAAACAATCTTACAATATACTTTTCTAGAAATAACTCCCAATGAGCATTCAATAGGGGAGGGAGGGAGGAAGGGAGGGAGAGAGAGAGAGAGAGAGAGAGAG